CCAGTAAACGATTCACATTTACAACTAATGTTAAAATTTGCGCTTTGCGAGAATTTATGAATAGAACAGACTTATCACAATCTAATTGCATTGTTAATAATCAGGGCAAAATACTGGATCTTGTATTGAATAATAGTCAAACACCTTGTATTGTAGTAGAGGCTCAAGAACTTAGCCGTCGCGATAACTTTCATCCCCCAATTGAAATCACATTAAACTATGGTAAGCAATGTCTTTTGAAGGAAAATAAAACTAATAAATATAGATTTTATAAAACTGATTACTTAGCATGCAACTCAGAACTTGAGCAGGTACATTGGAGGAATTATTCAGATCTTGATTGTGATGATTTTTTACTTGTATTTTATAATCATTTATGGGAAGTGATCGAAAAGTACACTCCACTATCTAAGTCTGGTAATTCTTGGCCCACTTGGTTTTCTCATGCATTAATTAAAATATTAAAAGAAAAAGAGAAGTTTCATTCTAAGTTTAAAAAATACGGTAATCCACGCGATTTTGATACTTATTCAATGCTTAGATCAAGATCTAAAGCGGAATTTATTAAATGCTATAAAAAATATTTAGAAAGAACTGAAAATAATATTAAAATGGATATTAAAGCTTTTTGGAAATATACAAAATCAAAGAGATCAACAAACGTTTTACCAAGTCAAATGCATAATGATTCTGATCTAGCAGATAGTGGAGGCGATGTTGCAAATTTATTTGCAAAATATTTTGTATCTGTTTATAATGCTCACTCGAAATGTAGTACTTATATACCGAATTTCCCTGAATCAAGTAATACCATCTCTTCTGTTATTATAACTGAATCGGATATCGAAGCAACTATAAAATCTTTAGATGTTACGAAGGGAGCTGGTCCAGACGGTATACCACCTATTTTTGTTAAGAACTGCAGGAAAGCTTTGGTAAAGCCGCTATGCATATTATTTAATAAAAGTTTAAATATGGGCAGTTTCCCAAAATTATGGAAAATCGCTAAAATTGTACCTATTTATAAAAAAGGGGATAAAACAGATATTAAAAACTATAGACCTATTAGCATACTTAACTGCTTAGCAAAAATTTTTGAAAGTATAGTTTATAAACATATTTATTTTCACATGAAACCAGTTATAAGTAGCAAATAACATGGTTTTGTTACAGGCCGTTCAACAACCACCAACCTTTTGACATATATACATTATATCAATAATAGTTTTAATAAACATGTGCAGGTTGATTCGCTTTACACAGATTTCGCGAAGGCCTTCGATAAAGTTGACCACAATATTCTTTGCCGTAAGGCATATCATCTTGGTATTCACGGAGATCTTCTAAGATGGTTAAATTCTTATATTTCTAATCGAACACAATTAGTAACGGTTCAAGGTTATGATTCAATTCCCTATGAATCCACATCTGGAATTCCTCAGGGCTCAAATTTGGGACCTCTGTTATTTATTGTGTTTATTAATGATCTTGTAGAATCAATTTCGTGCAAATGTATTGCCTATGCTGATGATATTAAAATATATAATGAAATTTCAACTATAGAGGATTGTTTTGCTTTACAGAAAAATCTTAATAAATTACATGAATGGTGTATAAGTAATAATATGTACTTAAATATTACAAAATGCTACCTTATAACTTTCACTAAAAAGAAATTTCCGATTCAGTTTTCATATAATATTAATAATGTTTTAATGAGTCGCCAAACTGTTGTCAAGGACCTCGGAGTATGGCTGGATTCAAAGCTGACTTATTCACATCATTACGATTATATTGTCTCAAAAGCCAATAAAATGACTGGTTTCATTTTCCGAACCGCAAAACCTTTCCGAAATCCAATTAGTATATTAATCCTTTATTTTGCGCTTGTTCGAGCAGTTTTAGAGTATAATGCTGTCATATGGTCTCCCCAATATAGCACTCATATTGATAGATTGGAAGCTGTTCAGCGGCGCTTCCTTCGTAATTTAAGTTCAAAGCTTGGCATGAGACGTAAGCTATCTACATATGAAAGTCGACTAAATTTTTTTGGTATTACTACGTTAAAATCTAGACGTTCAATCCAAGATTTGAACACGCTATATAAAATTATAAACGCAAAGTGGGATGCTATCGATCTATTAGGCCATGTTCCGTTTAAAACAGGAGGTAATAAGAGAATATTAAAATTATTTCATGTACCTTATTGTAATAACAATGTAACTTTTAATGATCCTCTCTTCCGCATGTGCAGACTGTATAATAATTGTAATGAATTGGACATTTTTGCTTATAATTTAAATTCTTTTCTTAAAATGGCAAAAGAAGTGTCTGAGTTTAATATATAATTGTTCTCATTTTCTATAGTTATTATATATAATGTTGAATCTAGTATAAGCTAACGCTGTGCGTAGCAATTAATGGTATACAATTTTAAAACAATTAATTATAAAATTCATTATATTTAATTTAATGTGAATTGTAATACTGTTGCTGTGCCCAAATAAATAAATAAATAAATAAATAACAGAGTATACTGTTTCGCCCATGATAACCCCCATGCGTTACCATTCCTGAGGACTCAGGTGTTATTCCTCTGTACCCAGTAAATTCACGCCACATCCCACCCTTCAAACCGAAACACAGTCATGCAAACACAGCTGCTTTACGGTAGAAACACAGTTGCATAAAAAAAAAATCAAGCATAAATAGTATTTGTACCCTCAGTAACAAATTAATATATACTTAATTACCGATAATGCCAAGATATTGGAACCAATTTGATTTTGAGAACTCGTTATTTCATAAACGTAGTCAACAAGATATGCCTAAACGGTGACATTTGATTGACATTTAATTTCCACAAATTATATACGAGTTTGCCTAAATTAGGTAAACTCTTAATGTCAGATATATATTAATCAACATTTTATTTATATCTTTATCTGATAAAACAAACCTTAAGGTGTTGCGGAAGTATTAAGAAATTTTGATGGGATTTGGAGTTTAAAATTTCTTGTTTATTGTTACTGCAAAAGTTTTTAAATACTGATTAAACTTTACAAAGAAGGTTTAAACAAAAGATATAATAAATCCTCACAAATGCAACAATTGCCTGAACAAAAATCAGATTATTGCCACTTCAGTTTACTTATCTCATTGGCTATGACGGTAACTTGAGTTCTTTTGTGAATATCTTCTATTCGGATTCTATCATGCAAAAACTGCGAGCATAGCCCTCTCTATAGCTCTCTGCCTATATAATAATTATAAATACGCAGAAAAAAAGTAATTGAATTATTTATACTCATTGCAAAAATAGAATTTAGAAGAAAATAGATTGTTTGATGGCTTTTAATATGATTAAATAATTTGCACTTGAAGGTACAATGTGAATCATAGAAAATATCGAGGTCCTTTACTTTAACGTCAAGTTCTTTAGAAAGAGAACAAATTCTAGTAATGGGCTGGTGTAATCCTAAGTTAGTTTTATATTGGCCAATACTGAATGTTTTGTTAATGATTTTTATTGTATTCATCCATATCGAGCTATAATTTATGACATGTAGCTGGTACCATCAAAAATAATCCTTAAGAAATTTATAAAAACTTACATTTGGAGCATAACATTATATGGGTGTGAGACATGAACAATGAAAAGGAAAGAAAGATGCTTAAGACATTCAAAATGTGGACATGGAGGAGAATGGAAAGGATAAGCTGGACAGAAAAAGTAACGAATGAGAAAGTCCTGAAAACAGTGAATGAAAAACGAAGATTAATAAAAACAATAGAGAATAGAAGAGGCAAAATGCTAGGCCACCTTATACAACATGACGATTTTTTATGAGCATAGTAGAAGGAAAAATAGAAGGCAAAGGGGAAGACCAAGGATAGATAAAAGAAACACTAGGTGCCATGTCGTATGGGGAGGTCAAGGATATAGCCTGGGACAGAACTGACTGGAAGAAGACTTAGTTGCACCGACAAGAGGAAACTTTTAAATGAAAAGAGAGAGCTAGTACCATGGCAACAGCGAACATCGGTAGTACCTATAGTATATACCATTAGGACTCCGTCATATTCTACTGCGTGCTATATTATCGCTGGTTGACCTACTGGTTCTACAAAGAATATTACCGGTGGTATTATGGGTGAAACAGTATACTCTGCATTAAGTGGGCCGTTAACTTGTTTGCCATTCTAAGTTGAATAAAAAACAACATATGATTCAGTGCATAAAGATCATTTCATAAAATTCCTCAATCTAGATTTGGACCAGAAACCTATTTACGCAAGACAGCACACTTATCTCTGTACGAAGGTCATTTATTTATTTATTTATAAAAGACACACCAACAATATGCTCACAATAATTAAGTAGACAATATACAATGTTATTAGTAAGTAAAAGAGAAAAACTACTATTAAAAAATGCTTAAATCTAAGTTTGAACAAAAATATCTCACTCCTCACTACCAAGCTTAAGGCCATATGAACACATCAATTAAAGGTGTATATAAGTAAGGTGTATATATGTCATCAAAATATCTAGTGTTATTGAAATTTCAAGCTTACATTGCTACTGAACCACGGAGCTTGTCAAAAGACGACATTCTTTAAAGTTTTAGCCCTCAAAGATTTACGATTTAACCCATGTTTAAAAACGACAGTTTAAATCTGTTTTTATGGCACTAAAACTTCATTGTTAATTAAAAAATTATATTCATTTTAGTTAATTTTAATCTCTCACGTTGTTTACACATATCAATTCTAAATCAAGTAAGTACGAACAATTTATATATATATATATATATTATTTTTTCGACTTCATCTCAGAAGTCTTCTTCAGAATAAGCTGAAGTGGATATTTCTTCTACAACATCGCAGCATCTCTCCTTAAAATTTTCAGGACCAACAAACATAGTAAGTTCTTTACATTCGCATTGTCCAGTTACAAATAAAAAAAAGTTCATTGGATCTATAAAAAAAAATACATATTGATTTTTAAATTTTTATTTCACAATATCAAATCTATGTGGGTTTATGTTCATTTTTCAATGGTGTACAGCTATGATGGGGGCGTGTCGTACCACTGGTACCACTGGGGCAGCGTGTACAAGTGGTGCAGCGACTACTGGGTGTGGTACTGCGACTGAATGCGCGACCACCGGCTGGGCTACCACCGGATGGGCCACCACCGGATGGGCCACTGGCACTACTGGGGCCACAATGCCCGCTTGGGCAAAGGCGATGATAGCCAGAAATACGGTCTGAAAACATTTTTTCATTAATTAATCGCATTGTAAATTAAATATAGTTCTGGCCTCCTCAGGAACGGTAACGTATGCCAGCCCCCTCAGGAATAGTAACGTAGGCCAGTCCCCCTCAGTAATGGTAACGTATGTGCTATTCATGTTAATATTTATTTACCAGCAATGGTTACTATTTTCCATCAGGTGAGACATCAGCTTGTTTGATATTTTAAGTTGCATAAGAAAATTAAGATTGCGTTCCACAAAAAAAAAGACTTAAAAACCAGTTATTTTGATTTAAAAAATAAACTTATGAATCGATTTTAATAAAATTTCTATACGACCAATCTGTAAATATACTTTCAGATAATAAATGCAACAGAATTGAGAATCTCCTTCTTTTTGAAGTTGGTTAAAAATGTGAGTTAAATCGACATCATCATCATCATCATTATTATCTGCCCATTGTTGAACACAGACCTCCCTTATAGACTGCCATAAGGAATAATCTTGAGCCAGCTGTGTCCACTGACTCCCAAATCGACATATATTATACCATATAACTCACGATAGTTTTTTTTTTTATACAACTCAGAATGGCAAACAAGCTGACGGACCACCTGATGGAAAGTGGTAACCGTTGCCTATAGACATGAGCAGTACCATGGACATAACAGAGTATACTGTTTCGCCCATGATACCTCCCATGCGTTGGCCAGTCCTGAGGACTCAGGTGTTATTTCTCTGTACCCTGTAAATTCACGCTATATCCCACCCTTCAAACCGAAACACAGCCATGCAAACACAACTGCTTCATGGTTGAAACACGAATGGGACAGAGGTACCCAAGTAATCGACTTTTGTACAAAGTCTCCCTCTGGCAACCGTTTCTTTTACTAATATGAAACTGATCATTTAGTTTTAATTTAAAATTCGTTTTAATTTAAGAATATTGGTAAACAAACAATATAGTTACTTTAAAACCTTCTACTTTATGTTGATTAAAATATATACATCTTTTTTTTTATTTGGCACAAACAGCCATTACATTATAGTGACATTTTATGCATAAACTTAAAATATACTTATTTTTTTTTATTAATTCTCATTTACCGTCATTAACATCGAAATAACCTTAATACAAAAATTTAAAATGAAATTGTTTAATCGAAACAAAAGCTACGCTCAAAATGACGGTCTAGATTTTTATAAAATACAGTTTATCATAAGATTTTGTCTGTTACAATTTACATTTTAATTTTTGAGAATGATTTATAAACCATTTTAATCATCGCATGTAATTCAGTTTGAATTATCGCAGTATAACGATTTAAATATGAAATATTCAATGGTATATTATACTAGAGAGTTTATGTAATCCGTTTTAAGATTCTAATCTAAATGGTAATTTTTTTAGTCGTTTGATAATGTTGGTAGTGTCTTTTATAAAAAAAAAAAAACTTTATATTGTTAAAAGATATCTGCAAAGAAATCTGAGAATAAATCAACAACAATAAATGTCGAACCACGAATCATATTTCACAACTTCTCTCGCAGATTTATTTCATATCGAAAATTAGAACAAACGAGAATTTTTCACGAAAGATCTGAAAATCTTTACGAAATATCTATCTTATACATTTTTGTCTAAAAATAAAATGTTTTTCTTTTATTACTGCGATTAAATTACCAGAGGGAGACTTTCTACAAAAGTCGATTGCTTGAGTACCTCTGTCCCATTCGTGTTTCAACCGTGAAGCAGTTGTGTTTGCATTACTGTGTTTCGGTTTGAAGGGTGGGATATGGCGTGAATTTACAGGGTACAGAGGAATAACATCTGAGTCCTCAGGAATGGCAACGTATTGGGGGTATCATGGGCGAAACAGTATACTCTGTTATGTCCATGGTACTGCTCATGTCTATAGGCGACGGTTACCACTTTCCATCAGGTGGGCCGTCAGCTTGTTTGCCATTCTAAGTTGTATAAAAAAATATTCATAAAAATTTAAAATATATTTTAAAAATATAATTCACAGTCTTGTGAAGAAACAAGCACTGTAACTAAAGATTATGATCTGTTATTATAACTTATACCCTTGATCTAAGCTTTATCAACAGAAGCCCACTTCAAATTTAGATATTGCCTTTTGACGTTTTGATATAATAATATTTGAAATAGAAACCCTAAAACCAAATTTTGAGATTGTAATAGCAATTAGAGGTGTCTTGTAATATTCATTATGATTTACGTGTAGTGATCAAATCTCGAATTCGAGTTTTAGAAATTTGAACTCTCTTCACAGTAACTAAGAGAGTAATTTAAGAAAGCATATATGTAAATATATGTTATATATTATATATAATAATAATAATAATCTTTATTTCACTCTTTGTTACAATATTGTTTGAAGTCCCTAACTCCCGAGGTAAGTATGAAAAAACCTGTTTCAGGAGTTAGTGCCCTCTTCCATATGTTGTTGTACATTTTTAGTGAAACAATATGAAACAGAGAAGCAACAAATACAAAAACAAAAATTACAATGGAGCCCATAATTTTAGAGAAACAATAATTTATGGGTTCAGTGAAATTATGATAAAATTGTATGTGTGTGTGTGTGTGTGTGTGTGTGTGTGTGTGTGTGTGTGTGTGTGTGTGTGTGTGTGTGTGTGTGTGTGTGTGTGTATGATATATGAATAGGTTATATATAGGTGTATGTATATATGAGAAAAGATAGATGAGTAGGAGTGGATATATGTAAATTTAAGAATAAGTAGGTTTTTAAGGTAATATGTATATGTTACTTTCTGTTCTCTTAAAAAGTTAACAGTAGTAAACTTAGTAAAAACACTATAAAGAAATTACAGGGCGGATTATTAATTTTGATGGGTGATAAGAAAGTCAACGAAAAAAATAATAATAAAAATTAAAAGCAAAAAAATTATGACTCTATAAATAAATATAATAACTAATATATAAATACAATACCAGTTTGAACATTTTGCTGTGGGATTTGTTTGTCTTTGTAACCGACGACGCTTGTCGACTGTGCCCCCAGATTACCTAGCCAGCCCTTTTATAGGTCTAACTGTGACCTAGGTTATGTATCTATGTGTATTAAATATGTTCTGTTTGGCAACACGAAACCTGAGAGCACTTTATACCACAATCACTTTGAATACAGTTTTATGTTTCAAAAATTCTCAACTACGAACTTAGGTATTAAATGTAAACGTCGATCGGTTGTTTCAGCGTGGATTAGCGAGAAAAAGAATATTTTATTTTTTAATTCTGTATATTATGAATTAAAAATGTGATGTAAGCAGATATATATATATATATATATATATATATATATATATATATATATATATATATATATATATCAATTAGAGGTCAAAATAGAATAAAAATGTAATCTACATTTATCTACTCTTCCTTCCTCTACTCTTCCTAAAATTAGATTTTAATGACCTTTATTTTTTTTTATTCTAACTCCAAAGTATTATTTTCTGCTAACCACTAAAATAGTCTATATTTTTGCTATATTATTCTGTGACATGTCGTATAGGAAGATCAAAGATATAGCCTGGAATAGAACTGACAGGAAAATAATGCATAATAATACAAAAGGAATCTCTTGAAACAAAGAAAGATGATTATTCTATGATCTTGAATTTTATTCTTTTTTTTTTCTTTTTTAAATAGAGAAATCTATTTTAAGAAAAATATGAACGTTTATATAGTTAATTGCTGGTAAGCAAGTAGGTTGGTACATAGAAAAATAGATACTCTTTGTTGTTTCCTCCAAAAGATTACAATAGTAAACTTATTATAAATATAAATAATTACAAGAATTAATCACAATTGGACTGGATGCCGTGACTTATCTCTCAATAGTGCACTTATTTTTTTTTTTTATTAAATATTACACGAAACATTACGTAATATGTAAATATTGCGTAATGTTTCATGTAAAAAGAGCGGGAAAAAAACTATATCTACCGCGCTATCAGTGTTGCCAATTAATTATTAAAAAAATTGTTGACTGGTATTGCCAACAATGCTTATAACGTAGTTGGGAGTTTAATATCATTTTTATGTCTTGATTGACAGTTACACCTTCTTTACTATGGAAGGATGCTAATGATTTCACTTTCATGGTCATACAAAAACAAATGTTTAATGGGACAAATAGAGCGTATATATATACACTGATATAGTGGATATACGTATAGTTGCAACCGACTTCAAAAAAGGAGGTTCTCAATTCGGTTGTAGGTACTTTTTTATGTTTTCTGTGTTGTAACTTCGTCAATTCTAAACCGATTTGGACTTTTTTTTATCTGAATAGAAATTATATCAAAATCATTTTTGTCACAATCGAAGTCGGTTTTTTTTTTGTTGGACACAATTTTTAATTAAATAATAAGTGAATTCAATGTTCTAACTAATAATTTCGGTTTGATTTTTGAATGGAAATTCTTAAAGAGGTTTTAAAAAAAAATTAAAAATTAAGCATTTTAACTCTTAACTTTTTGTGTAGTTTACGAATAATATAAAATGTAGTGTTATGTATATATATATGGTATATATTATAAACTGATTAAAAAAACAAATTTAACCATTAGAGTTGAGAAGTCAGCGTGTAAATAACCTTCCATCATACAATTTACGCACGTTTGTTAATTGCTAAAAGCGTCAACCTTTATAATTGATGTCACTTGGAATGATTAAATTGCCTGCTAACTGCAAATCTTTATACGCTCTTAACTTACACTGTCATTAATTTATTCAGAACCTTGCTCATTCATATTTTTACTCTTTACACACTTGATATAAGCTTAGTTATTTTATGCAATATAGAATGGCAAACAAGCTGACGGCCCACCTAGTGGAAATTGGTAAATGTCGCCTATAGACATGAGCAGTACCATGGACTTAACGGAGTATACTGTTTCGCCCATGATACCCCCCATGCGTTGCCATTCCTGAGCACTCAGGTGTTATTCCTCTGTACCCTGTAAATTCACTACCATATCCCACCCTTCAAACCGAAACACAGTTAAAACAACTGCTTCACGGTAGTAACATGAATGGGACTATACTACGTGTATGTCAAATTTCATGATATGACAATTAGCAATTAAAGCACTAATAGGTAACAAACTCACGATCTCTAAACATCTTTACAAAGCTTTTAACTCCTGTCTTACTAATATAGAAATATTGTACCTAAACGACATCAGTACATGAGAGGAATTTAAGAAAAAATTATATGAATGGGTCTCAGTAAGACCAACAGCTGTCATAACTATATATATATAATAGAATTTTTATCTGTCTGTATGTTTGTGTTAGCATCACACAAAAACTACTACAGTTATGTTCCTGAAGGTATAACTTAAAAGCTAATAAATGCCCTATTTCGTTAAGTCGTTTTCGTTAAGTGGTTTATTTCAGTAATTTTTCTACTCACGAAGTCTACGTGAATGAAATAGCGGGCAAAAAGCTAGTTCAAAATGTCAGTAGGATTTGGTATAATCATAGCTATTCAAATTCCATGATTCCAAAGGCAACTATGTTAAATTAAACGGTTTGTTTGTTTGTTTGGCTATTCATGGTACATAATTAAGAATGTGTTCCACAATGAGTCATAATAAATTAAAAAATTCCAACACACACACACACACACACACACACACACACACACACACACACACACACACACACACACACACGCACGCACGCACGCACGCACGCACGCACACACGCACACACACACACACACACACACACACACGCACACACACACACACACACACACACACACACACACACACGCACACACAAACGCGCGCGCTCATACACACATACGCGCGCGTGTAAAACTTATAACACCCTATTTTTCATCGGAGGTTTAAAAACCAATCTCTGTTGTGGTAAAATTAGTTGATTGGATTTAAAAACTAATTTATTGTACCGATTTTATATAAAATTTCTACGAGACCAATCTATAAGTATATGCCTTTAGATAAAAAAGAATCATCAAAATCGGTTTGCAACTTAATAAGTTATAAAGTAACAAACATAAAAACACACAATCGAATTGAGGACGTACTTCCTCTTAAAATCGGTTGAAAAAAGCGTTCAAAGTACCTTAAACGCTCGGCCTAATGTGAGAACTTTAAACTGTACCTAAAAGTCATTAAACTCTTGTCCAAATTCATTAATTAGGATAGACGCTTTGTTTATCCCCTCTAATCCCGTAACAGCCACGACTCACAGTTCACTCCTCCCGCATATATCACACTAGTAACCCAGCTCGGCTTTCATCAGGTGGGCCGTCAACTTGTTTGCCATTCTAATTTCCATAAAAAAACGCAGAAAAATTAGGTTACATTTTCTAATCAATTAACCTCCCTCACGCGGACAAAGTCACGAGTAAAAGCTAGTTACGTAAAAAATAACTTATTGATGCGATACGATAATTAAACAGTACTAATAAAAAATTCTAAAATACCCGACACGTTTCCCAAAATGCCTGAGGGTGTCACGATTTTTTAATAAAAAGAGGCACGTGGAAGAAATTTCCTGACGTGGAAATAAACGCCTAGCTATAACTAATTTTATATTGAAGTTTTTTTTTTTATACAACTTAGAATGGCAAACAAGCTGACGGCCCACCTGATGGAAAGTGGTAACCGTCGCCTATAGGCATGAGCAGTACCTTGGACATAACAGAGTATACTGTTTCGCCCATGATACCCCCCATGCGTTGCCATTCCTGAGGACTCAGGTGTTATTCCTCTGTACCCAGTAAATTCACGCCATATCCCACCCTTCAAACCGAAACACAGTCATGCAAACACAGCTGCTTCACGGTTGAAACACGAATGGGACAGAGGTACCCAAGCAATCGACTTTTGTACAAAGTCTCCCTCTGGTATGTAGTGAAATAACTGAAAGAATTGTAAATTAAAATTGGCGCGAAAGGAAAAAATAACTATTTAATTCTATACAATACAAACATACAAAATTAAACATAAAAAGCCTTTAAAAATGCAAGGTAATAAAAAGCTATTTAAAATTATAACGATTTGGTAAAAACTCTTGAAATGTTCACAGGTATTTCTTTACGGCTCGAAGCTGAATACGAGTCGTTAATTACATAAAAAAATATTTCAAGATAATTATTTTCAATGAAAAAAATACATACCTATCGCTTTTTTTGAAGAATACATGTATATTGTAAATCAGTGTTTTTCAAAGTGTAGGTCGCGACCTCTTGTGGGGTCCCCGAGCCTGTACAAGGAGGTCGCGCAAGGTCGCGAAGCAGTGAAAAATAAACAGTTCCGTAAATACATCGATCAGTCAATAATACATAATGAAGTATCTATAACAGACATCGATAACATGTCTGTTTAGATACTTTATTATGTATTATTTATTTTATTTTATCGATACCTTACTGTAAATATAAATACAACTGTATGGATTTCATTATTGTACAATTATAAAAATTCATACACATTCGAAACCGTCGAGGGTAGGGGGTCGCAAGATATTTTTACGTAATAGGGGGGTCGCAAGATATTTTTACGTAATAAGGGGGTCGCAAGATATTTTTACGTAATAAGGGGGTCGCGTCATGAAAAAGATTGAAAAACACTGTTGTAAATCAATAGATAATTATCATTATATTATTATAGTAAAACCAGTTATTTTAACCAGTTAAACTAAACTACTGAACCGAATATGATAAAATTTCTGTGAAACCAATCTGTAAGTATATCCTTGCAGATAAAAAACGAATTTTTCAAATTTGTTTAGAACAGACAGAGTCATGAGGTAAAACAGGTTTATAGATTGAAAAATATCATATAAAAATTTAATTATGACTTATTAATACTGATTGAAAATATATAACATATTGCTTTATTATATATATATATATATATATATATATATATATATATATATATATATATATATATATATATATATTATAAATAATATGATAAATATAAATGTCGAGCATCGAGATTGATACAAATTTCTTTGGTTATATTTATATAAAC